GGAGGGGAGCCGGAGCCCGCCGCGGCCACAGGGAGGGGAGCCGGAGCGGGATGGGAGACGGGGGGTAGGCCCATGGGCCTGTTGCGGTGCAGAGCTAGTGGGAACCAGCAGCGAGAGGCACCCCTGAAGGGGTAGGGGGGCACCTTTCCGGCCAGCCCCAACAGCAGTTTGCCCTCCCCCACCCCCATGTGGCTATGACAGCCCCTCGGGCCCTGGGCTCACCTGAGGCTCCCCATTTCCTTCTGCAGGTTATAGGCTTTGAGCTGGTTGAACTTCTTCCGCTGGGCTTCCTGGGGGAAGGTGAGCTCGGCAATCTGCTTCAGGTACCTGGAGCGCAGGGTCCTGTCACCTCCGCAGGGCAAGGCCCCCCCAGCCCTCGTCCCCTGGGAGCAAGGGAGACCCCCCCACCCCCTTCCTCCGGGAGCAGTGGGATGGGGATTCCCCCAACACTCACTCCCCTCCCCATGAGCCCCCCTCCACTTGCCTCCCCTAGGAGCAGTGAGATGGGGAGACACCCCCCACTCAGTCCCCCACCCCAGCAGTGAGATGGGGAGGGGCCCCTCCACTCGCCACAAGACAGGGCCCATTATTCTCCCTCCTGGCCCCATGGCAGAGTCCCCGCAGCACTGCATCGGGGGCGGGGGTGCTCCCCTCAGGGCTGTTACTGCAGAGTGATGGGGGGTGACTCCTTGCCAGCCACACTCCAGGCCCCCACTCCTGCAGGGGACGCGGTCCCCGGGGGGACGCAGCTGGTGCTCAGAGGGGCAGGCCGGGATGACCCACAGGCCAGAGAACTCCGGAGCAGTGGGTTACCGTTCCATGGTCCCAAACAGCCACTTGGGCTCCTTGTTGAAGGGCATCACCATGCCGTGGAAGCGGGACATCTTCATCGCTATCTCCCTGGAGATGTCGGGGTCCTGCAGGTCCTCCGTGCGCAGACGCCGGCTCTGGGGGGACACGGCAGGCATGTGACAGCCTGGCCTCCAGGGAATGGGACGGGGGCAGCAGGGAGCCCGGGGTTCGCTTGGCCTGGAACGGAGCCTCCAGCGCCAGGGGAGGGACAGAGCCCTCTCAGCGCCCCGGGAGCCCACAGGTGTGAGCCAAGCCAGCCAGGACGGGCAGCGAGCCGGGGCACTGCCAGGCACCTGCCACGTGCAGCAGCCATCTGGGGTCATGGAGGAAGAGCCACTTGGGCCTCACCAGCCCTTGAAGTCGGGCAGGGCGGTCTCTGGCCAGTCCGTGGGGGGCCTGCATGGGGGAAGGGCAGAGGGTAGCCCCCCCAGCAAGGCCCGTACCGGAATGTATTGCTCGAGGCGCCCCTGGGGAAAGACCCCGTAGAGCCGTGGCCCCAGCGCCCGCTCTGCCAGGATGGCAAACATCACGCTCTCCAGCACCAGCGAGTCCATGCCCTGCAGAGACAGAAGGCATGGGTGAGGGGTAGCCACCCCCAAACCTGCGCAGTCGGGGGAGGGGCCGTGGCCCTGGGACTCCCCAACCCTGCACAATAGGGAAGGAGTGACCCCAAGACACTGCTTGATGCCAGGGTGGGGAGGCAGCAAACCCACAATCCACAGCCCACCCCAATGCACAGTCCTGGGGAACCCCACAAAGGAACCCTCACCAGAGAAGGGAGGACGGCATTAACCCCCTCAGCCTTGAACCCTTCGCTGGCCCAGGAGTCAGCACCCAGCAGCGGCAAGCTGGACAGAGCCGTTTCTCTAGCCCGGAGGGTGCTGCAGGGCTGGGATAGCAGAGGGGCTGCGGGTGGGGACTATGGGGCAATGGCAGAGCTGGGGGGCAGGGCTGGGATAGCAGAGGGGCTGCAGGCGGGGACTATGGGGCAATGGCAGGGCGGGGGGGGGCGGGGCTGGGATAGACCCTCACCGGGGGGGGGGTGGATTACAGTCCCTGCAGAGGCCTGCGTAGCCCCCACAGCTGGCCCCGTGCGTGGCTGGCATGGAGCCTGTCGCTGGGCTGATGAGGCCAGGCCGGGTCAGGCCAGTTCCCCCACACGCTGACCCCAGCCAGGCCGTCGAATGCAGCGCAGGAAGCGGTTTGGTGTGTCCCGGGGCCGCCCCCACCCCTGTGCCCTGCTGCCGGGCTGGGGGAGCCTCACCTGCAGAATGGCCCCGTAGACGCGCAGCAGCACCTGCCGAGGCTCATCGCCCACGCTCAGGACGTGGTCCGGGAGGCTGCATTTGTACAGCAGGTTGCTGAGCCCCCCACTGCAAAGGGGAGCAGAGCCCAGGTCAGAGGCCACGGGGCCCGGTGCGCTGGGACGCGGCCCAGGCGCTGGGGGGGCGCACGGGGCCGGCCAGGAGCACGGGGCGCACCCCCGGAAGGTTTGCGGATCCCTCCCAGGCAATTTCAGCCTGAGCCCGCACGAGCGAGCTCCTGCCCCGATCCTGCCCCCACCAGCGCCCCGAGCACGGCCCCATCGCGGGTGCCCACAGAGCCCCGGGCTCCTACGCCTGCACGTGGAGAGACCTGGGCACACGGCCGCGTCCGGGACAGCGCCCTGC